AAACGAGCATATAGTTTTATTAATTGCTGTTAATATTTTCCAAATCTTTGCTCAAACAAATTAATCATTTTACTATAATACCTTAGAAAAAATTACATTCGTTATGGTCCAAGTAATTAATACCATTTTTATACGTTCAGTATACATATTGTTTGGAAATAGATTTGGCTGACGCTGGTTTATAAAATTGGGAGTCGCTGTCGACAATATTTAGTACAAAACAACATAGCCGTAGGATACAACAAGGGCCCAGGGCTGCATAAAATATTTTCTTTACTGGAACCACAAAGGTGACAAAGCCAATGAAAATATTTTCTGCAAGCAAACGCTGGGAATCTTATGTTTTTATTTAAATTTGATCACTACTAAACACGATTCAGTGTATTCTACAATGCATTTCATCAGACTTGAAATCAAAACAGACGTATTTCAACATGGCTACCGAATAAATATTTTTTTAAATACTTTATAATATTGTAAATTACCCTTAATTATGCAAATATAAGCCTTTAATTTGTATATTGATTTTCATCAACATTAGCCCAGTATTAAACATCAAACAGTGGGGAACAACTTTATATTTTAATTTAAAAACAAAGATATACATTTTAATGAATGATGAAAGTGACCACTAAAAAGTGGGAACTGTCTGCAGTTTAAGATTCTAAAATATATATTCTTATAATTTTAATATATTTGTCATGAATATCATCTTAATACATGTTCTTAATTAATGGATAAAAGTTCACGTGAAGAGCAGACGGATGTTATAATCAATATTGTAGAGCGATATTGCTTAGATCTTTTTTACTAGTTACTACATATTGTAACAAATCATCAACCTCGTTCCCAGGGCTTTTCCCTTTTTGTCATTGGGAAGGCGGGAAAAGGAGACGACGATTGGAGCGAGTTTATGAGGAATATTTTATACAGTGATTCAAAGAAATGTTTTTGCATATACTGTATACGTTATTGATCTATTGTTGAATGTCACTTATATTGTAAAGTGCCAATGGTTGGAATATTTATTCATTGATATTTTAAACACAGATGAAGTGTTATATGCTCTTTCCTTGTTTACGTTTTCCTTGCACCCAAATGTTGTTAAAGCTGGCAAGCTGCAAAACTGACATATGAATGATATGACCCAAATATTGGATATGCATCTTAGTTTGCTTCCAGTAAAATGTAAACAAGACCTTAAGAATTCTATACGAGATAAGAAATATTACGTTTAAAATCATGACTGGCAAATTAGCATGTGCGAATTGATACTTCCTAATAATAGTATGTACTCCAGTAAAGCTTGCTTGCTTCAATTCTTGCTGTTACCATCTGCACATTATCAGGGTGGAGAGTTGATTTGAATTTTTTGTCCCAGGGGATAAAGGTAGGGAATAGATTTTCCACCACAAAAGGGGCAAGGTGCTCAACCAGTTAGAAGATGGCATGTACTTTAAGTGACCATTCATTATACCCTAGGGTGGGGTGGGAGATTCTTATGTCAAAATGTCATGGGACCCCTTTTTAATCTCTTAATTTAATAATGGAGACCCCTCCTAAATATTTAAGACTATATAACATGATGCAATTCTAATCTTCATTCATGTGAATGCCTGACTATGAAGAATACACATTTTGCAACACAGGGATGGATCCAGCATGATCTGCTAGGGGACGGGGGGGGGTGCTCTGCCAGCTCTGGTGCCGAGTTATGTCGGTCATGTGTGCCACCCGCCCATCAACTTGCTTCACTACTGCAAAGTCTTGCTTTACTACTGTATTTGAATTGTAATTGTTGTTCACAGCTCGCTTATTATCATGTTATTACTCAAATTACTGTATCTCATTTTGCCTGTAATAATTTTTTGCTTTATCATGAAAAATAGCACCCCCTCTGGCCAGGGCTAGGGGAGTGCACAGCTCCCCTCCCCCCCAGTAAATCCATCCCTGTTGCAACATACACTACAAGAGCTAGAATGATTGCTTCCTTTGGATGATTTGTCTTAGAATTATATTACCTATATTACAACAATTCTTCCTATTCTGAAACCAGTTGCTATTCTGCCAAAAAAAAAAGACTCAACAAATCAAGGACCCCCTCCAAGGCAATTTTGCCAGCAAAATAGATTAAATTTGATGGTAATTGTTCTGAGAATATATTAACTCATTAAGTGGCAGCATTCTGCCTAGACTTGCCACAAGTCGACCTCGAACGAAACGCAAGCAGCGAGTGTGAGCCGACGTTTCGTTCGAGGTCGACTTGTGGCAAGTCTACATTCTGCCCTTGAGTAAAATTTCTGGCATCAGACGGAGTAATATACTAAAGTAGGGACATTGCCACTATAAAGGGTTAAACAAATTTTAAAAAATTTTGCAATGGTCTATATTCAAAAAGCTCAATTTGTAAATTTTAATTGACTTTAATTAAATTAATATAACTACTTATACTTATAGCTACCTTGCCCCAGTCACTTCAAGTGAATTCTACGGGAGGAGGGGGACATTGAAAATCCCTGGGTTTACTTGGTAAAAGCAAGAATTGAACCATGCATTACATGTATATGGAGAGCAGTTTTAAATATATTTTATCATGCAAATACCATGATAATTGTTCTTAAATGTCTTTGGCTTAGAATGGGTACATCCTCCAAAGGTGTTTATTTACAGGGTCCAAAGGTGTAAATATATACTGTCCAAGGTGTTAATATAAACAACAAAAACAATGTATATAATTAAATTTTATTAAATAAAATGTGGAATATTTTACAAATTGCATTACCATCCCAAAGTGTACATAATTTATCAATATAATTAGGACTTAGAAGCTGTTCACATGAGTTTGACTCTGACCCAGCACCCTTGGCTAGCTCCCCTTGCCCAATCACAAGTAGAAAACCTCCAACCCCCTCTGACAAATCAGTCCAGATCTGCCCAAGAGGCAGGATTTTCTGGAATATTATTAGCAGTGAAATTGTTGCATATTTTCAAGCATGCATTGTAACCTGATTTTAAAGCCTGTTTGAACATCAGACTTTGTGGCAATGGCATGATGGTCCAGCCATATGAATACAATCTTAAAATATCATAAAAACAATGCAATTTAAGGCCAGACAGCCCAACTCCTGCGAACAGCCCTTTATTACACATTTGAAGCATCTCTTGAGGCATCAAAGTACTGTACATGCAGGCACATGGAGTTACATATGAGTATGTGACATAAGCACACCATATATTGCAAAACTTTTTCTGCAACAATGCACATACAACAAATGCAAATACAATCAAGCTGGAAACGGATTTTATCAGTATTTTGATATATACATTATGGCTCATGTCTAAAGACACCTGCACTTTCATGTTGAAATTGTTCTAATATCATCCAAACAAAACACATCAGAAAACTGTAATATCAGCCAAATGAGCAAATCACTTTTTTAACACAATTTATGGTAAAATGAAGCAACATGTAATAGTATCTGAAACAAAACCAAATCACAATATTATTCAAAAGTTGTAAACACTGTTGCATACATGATATAACAAAATATCGTCGCATTTCTAGTGGTAACTAACTATAAATTAGGCCAATTTAATCTCGACTATGAAGAACATCAAAAACTAAAGGTCATGTTTCAGTTTTTAATATAAACCCAGACTTTAGATTATAAATATAAACATTATAAACGCTATACGAAGCCAAATATGAAGGTACATTTTGCCCTAAATACTCGGTCAGAGCCTCAGAGGTATGTTCTAGTACACAGTGAATCTTCTCTCGCAGTTTAAAACAAACAATAATACTAACCTTCAACAAATTGTGTATAAATCTTATCGAATTTAACCATTTTGCCACAGATTTTGCCAAAAATATTTCTTAGACGGACAAAGTATTAATAATGACACTCCTGGCATGAATGTTACTTTATCCCAAAGTTTGAATAAATTAATCCAAGATTGCATTATTTGCATAATAATGTACTTGTCATTGACCAATCAGAACACATAGAAGACCGGCCGGTGCCAGGGCCTTTTCCCGCCTTCCCAATGACAAAAGGGAAAAGCCCTGGGAACGAGGTTGACAAATAATCACACCCGTAAACTTTTTAATCCACATAGTTTGTTGTGTTCATATATAACTGGAGTGGTATTTTAAGCTAAGAGCACTAGATGTAATCAATTAAAACAACCGCATAGAGGATTTTTTCTTAATATCTGTCAGGGCTGTTGTCTACCTGTCTTTGACAATAATATCACCTGCATCCGGTTGCTGGAGTGCTGCCTGGTTCCTGTACCGGTATATTGGAAACTTGGTTACATGCATGTCGCAAACATCACTAGTTGACTATACCTACTGTCCTATACCTCGACCTTTAACAGAGATCATCGAACTGTGTGAAGATGTAATTAGTATTGATCCAGATAATAGTTTAATTAAACAGAACCCTGCAGGAAAACTGTTCATTACTTAAAACCCCAACAGAAGACCAACAAAGTGTTACATTAAAATCAACCCACTGTAATGAAGCAGTGGAATCAGGGTGTGAAATTAATACTATTACTAATCTGGCGAATGGCGAATCTCTTGCTCCCGAAACATACCAATCGAACGAAGAATTGTCCCATTCCATGACAGCGAAAACAGTTAATTCAACTTTAAAAACGCAATCAGAAAAATCGGGTCCCTCCGAACAGGTCAGGGCAAAAAGCAGTGAATTAGTTTTCGGATAAACGCCAAAACAAAACACCGCAAATAAGGTCAAAGGTCACAAGTCAATCAAGTGTACAAAACGTTTATCGAAAGAGATATATTACGACAACAATATATCTGGGCTAATCGATAAAAGTGAAATAAATTGCAACCCAGGGGTGCCTGTCAGACATGCGGAGTGGGTGGGACGGCTACCTTTGTTTGAATCTTCATATAAGTCTGCATCGTTAAGGAAATCTACGACTTTAAACGATTTCCAGCGATCGTGTAAGAGAAATTTTCGGAAGAGTCGTTCAAATCACCGTCCCCGGGACTGGCAGAGGTACCTCGAATTTGTTCGGAAGACGTTACATCCTCGTGTGACTCGGCCTCCAATTCGCCTACGAACAACAAAGTAATTCCTATTGTTATGTCACAATGTCGGACCATAAGTCATCGCATTGCAAGTTACAATAATATACGTAAACGAACTAGTAATCCATGCAACCTGGTAAATGTCCCTGTAACTACTAGTAACCTGGAATATCACCGAGATTACTGCGCTGTTCCATCTCTCTTTGTTACCAATGCCTGCCACATAGCTAACAAGGTGGACGAACTGTCTGCAGTGGTTGCGATAAACAATCCCTCTGTAATTTTGGTTACAGAATCCTGGTTATCGTCTGATATTCCGGATTCTATTATTAACATAGGAAATACTTACAATTCATATCGACTCGATAGACCTACGCAAGGTGGTGGTATTTTGGCATACATTAAATCTGACCAACCTGCTAAACGCCTTCCTGAACTAGAAGAGGAAGGAAAAGAAGCACTCTGGCTATTATTGAAACCACCCAGAATACCGAGACCCTACAGTTCCGTCATTGTAGTAGGCGTATACCACCTTCCAGGTCAAAGTAAAGAGAATGAACATGAGATGTTGGACTACCTAACTCAAAAGATGGACATTGCTTTAGCTGAGCGCCCTTCTGCCGGCATATTTGTAACTGGGGACTTCAACAAGTTGGACTTGAACCCTTTGTGTCGCCGTTTCAATCTACGCAAACAGGTCAAGTCGCCCACGAGAAGAAAAAACATTTTGGACCAGATACTTACCAATATGTCGGATTTGTATGACGAAGTTCTTCACATTCCACCCATCGGACGTTCCGATCACCAATGTTTGATCTTACCACCCAAAACAAGACAGAAGATGCCCCCAGTTTCAAAGAAATATCGACAAATGAAACCAGAGAACTTAAACATTCTGGGACTGAAAATGAATCTTGAAGGCTGGGAGAAAGTATATTCCGAATGGGATGTGGACGACAAGGTCTCAGTCTTTAACTATATCGTTATCTGTATGCTTGATGAAGCCTTACCCGTGAGAACAGTTCGCGCACATTGTACGGACAAACCGTGGATGACCCCCAATATTAAACGTTGATAAAAGCAAGACAGAGAGCATTTACGAAAGGGGAGACACCGAAGTATAAAAGTTTACATGCAAAAGTTACCAAGCTGATATCCAACGCTAAAGCTACGTACTACAAATCCAAGGCTGAAGGCAACCATCAATCCAATCCCACCAAATGGTATAAAACGATTTACAAGCTAGCGGCAGCAACCGAAAATCAACAATCTCTGTCCTCGCCTGATCACGCTGACCTAATGGAAATCGCTGACGGACTACAAAGAAGTTTTACTAAGCCTTGGCTAGGAATTCAACCAGATCTTCCCAGACTTCAAGCGGTAGAGCATTTGCTCAAGGACAGCCACCCACCTCTACCATCCATTGGCCAAGTCAAAACCGTCCTAAAACACCTAAATCCTAGGAAAGCCACTGGGTCGGATAATATCCCTGCATGGTGTCTTAAACGGTACGCAGAAGAATTAGCACCAGTGGTCCACGATATTGTGGTTGCAAGCATAGTTCAATGTAAATATCCCACCTCCTACAAGCATGCAATCATTAGTTCCATACCCAAAGATCCGTCCACCCACTGACCTAGATAATGATTTCCGCCAAGTTTCCGTGCTACCACAACTAGAAAAAGTTATCGAGAAGCTACAGCTGCAACTCAATAAATCCAGTTTCAAGATCAAAACAAACCAGCACGCCTTTACGAGCGGTCACTCCACCGTGTCTGCCCTTACCTCCATATCTCATAACTGGTTCGACTCAACGGACAACTCCTCAACCGGTAGACAAGGTGTCCACGCCCTATTTGTTGATTTCCGGAATTTCTGGACAAGCTTGCTGATATGAATGTAACAAGGAGTTTCTGGTTATGGATAATGAGTTTTCTGGAG